TGATGGTTTCTCTGCACCTTGTGCAACTGAAGGCAGGTCTCAGCTGAACTGTCACTTCGGTGGCAGGAGACTGAGGAAAGACAGGAATGACCGGGAGAATCTTCGCAAGACCCTCAGCAGTGCTGAGGACCACTTGAGGTTTGGTGTCACCGATGTAGAGTGAGAGAAGTTCAACTGTGGTTTTGTCCAGCCATGGCAGCCATTTGGTGTGGCTGCAGCTCTCAGTGTTCCCGGAGGGGGTGGTGAGAGGGTTGAGAAATAAAGATAAGAGACCAAAGCTGAGGTCAGGTGCAGTGCTCTCTCTCGGGCTGGGAGGAAAGGACCTGGCCAAGGACTGCAGAGCATTGATTTATACACTCAGGAGATTGACGTCAGTTTCCACCTCTCTGCCTAGCAACCTGTCTATGAGCTTGGGAGCTGGAACAGATTGTCCGCAGGGCAGGAGGAGCTCCCCGTGTTCTCGGGGCTGGCTTTGTCAGCCCTGCACATGTTATCGGTCTCCAGCTTCAGCCGCTCCTCACGATTTGGCTGGAGACATCGGGAAGAGTGGGTTTAACCAGTGCTGTAGTTTGGGCTTGAGTGTCTCCCAAGACCCAGACATAGGAGGCTTGGTCCTTGGGTTGGTAAAAACTTTAAGTGTAGGGCCTTAGTGGAAGGAAGCTAGGTTGGTGAGGGCCCACAAGTAACACTATTCTGAAGGATTACTGGGGCCCTAGTGGCTGCTCCTCCTCTTTCTTTGCTTTCTAGCTGCCATGAGGTGAGCAGCCTCCTGCACCATCTACTTCCTCGGTGTCCACCATGATGTTCTGCCTCGGCACAGGCCCAAGGCGATGGCCAACCACTGACTGAGCCCTCTGAAAGAAACTGTGAGCCAAAGTAAACTTTTCCTCGTTATAAATTGATTTATTTCAGGTATTTTTAATAACAATGGAAAGCTGGCCAACACAACCTGGTTCAAAAGTTTGCTATAAAGTATAAGAAAGATGAGGAGATACCAAAGACAATAAGGAATAGGCAAGATAATAATTGCAATGATAAGCTGAGCATGGTGTTCCACACCTGGAATTCCAGCACATCATCCTGATTCAAGAGGCTGAATCAGAAGGATCTCTGTGACTTCTACACATGCCTGGGCTACATAGTGAGTTCAAGGCCAGCCTGCAGTACATAAAATAGTCTCAAAAAATAGTAATTGCAATGGTAAAGTCTCAAAAAATAATAATTGCAATGATAAACAACAGATTCTAAGTTGGATAAATAAAAAAATAGAAATAATTAAGTCACCTTCTACATTTTTGATGGGAATATCAGTACAGTCATTATGACTATCAGTATTGAGGTTTATCAAAATATTAAAAATAGAACTCCATGGCCTATACCCAAAGGAAATGAAGTAGTCTTACAAAAGACATAAGCACATATTCACTTTTATTGCAGCGTTATTTACAATAGCCAGAATCCATAGATGCCCATTATCAGATGAGTAGATAAAGAAAATGTGGAGCATGTATGTAGCGTGCTATTAGCAGTAAACAAGAATGAAATCTTGTGCTTTGCAAGAAAACAGATGGAGGCCAAGGATACAGCTCAGCAGCACAACACCAGCCCGGCAAGCACAGGGTCCCGAGTTCAGTTCCCGGTACTAAGGAGACAGATGGAACCAAGCAACTTCATCTGAAGCAAAATGTGCCACACACAGAAAGACAGGTATCAGGTGTTTTTTCTTATGTGTGAAAGTTAAAAAATAACCTGAAAGTAGAAGAAAGATGATTCAGGCTGGAAGGGAGCCAAGAAGGAAGGAGAGAGGCGAGAGTCTGGAGGACAGAGCGCTGGTGAGCATGGTCAGTACACGGTGTGTGCTGGCATGCAAATGGGGTTCATCTATTTGTATAATTATATATAATTATAATAAAAATGGAAGTGCTAGTGAAGTCAAAGAATTATTGAACTGAGGAGCCTAGAAGAAGCTATAAACATGAGGCAATAGTCACGTAGCAGCAAACAGCTGAATTCCACAGAAGACTGAAGAACTCTCTTTAAGGCAAACAGAGTTTATTGAATTTTAGCTGGTCCCCGCTCATCCCCGACTAGCAGGCCAGGAAAGTGGGGTGGCTGGCCTTTTGTTTCCCCCTTAAATACACCTTTGGTTTCTATGGTAACAGATTGGACTGTTGCAGCATTGACACAGGCGGCCACACGTTTTCCTTGTTCCATGTGACCGGGTCAGGCCCAGGCCAGGAGCCCAACCACAATGGTATATACTTCCCACACTCTGTTCTGTATGTCCCTCTTTGGAGAACCATACATTTCCTTTATGGTTACAATGCTTATCCAGGGCCATGGAAGGGGTGAAACAAACCAGGCAGGGTCATAGGTGGTTGTCTGGGCCTTGGTGTTCTTTGTCTTTGGAGAAGCATTCCAGGGCTAAGTCAGGACTGCAAAGTTAACTTTTCATAAGCCCTCTGGGATATTTCTCAAGACACATTTTGAGGCTTGCACCAAGACTGAATTATTCTATCGTAAAATGATATGCTAAGAGTCACCGTCCTCTACAGTCAAAGAATTGGATGCCTGAATTTACGACTTTGGAGATTATGAAACTAGGGGCAACACTAAGGACATAATCATTAGAGCGGGTGACCTGGGTGAAATGGGGAGCGCATCATTTTAAGTGAGGAAGGCAGCGAACAGAGAGCCCAGGGTGGCGTCAGTCACCTAGCGTCACGGTGGGGAGGGGGTAACAGTGATCCCCACGCTAAGATTTTCCCTGAGGGGAAGGTGCACTGGGAGAAAGGCAGGCGCTTGCCATGTGCCAGCATGGACACGGGGCAGCCGCGGCAGCACGTGCTCCTGGGACCGGGCCTGGCCTAGCCGTGCTGAGCCAGCCTGGTGCCGGCTGCACCCGGAGGTGGGCCACGGCAACACAGTCCTTCAGCAAGATGACGCAAGCTGCATTAGTGCATGTAAAATAGCACCTCCACGCAGAACCTACAGCTGTCCCGCTCCTTAAAGGTGTGTGAGTTCCACCGGACCTGGTCTGCCGTTCACACATCAGCACAGCCCATGGGAACGGCACGCCTCAGGCTGCGGCTCTGCTTGAACAGCAAGTGAAGGTCACGCCTATCTCAGGAGCCTGGAGCCAGGGAGCTGCGGTGATGATGGACTGGCAGCTCCAAAGGGTCAAAGGCATGGCGGGTACAGAGGGGAGGGGACATGAGTCAGACGAGAGAAAGTTCTGCACCCCACAGAGCAAGCGCTGGAGTAATAAGGTGTGACCTTGAAGACGCAGACTGCACTGGTGACCAGGCAGGAGGGTTGGGAAGATCAGTTCTGACTGCAGCCTCCTGGGGCGCTGATCGCCTAGGCCACTGACCGCGATGACAGAGGGCGGATTATCACAGCGCCAGGCACATGGCGGCACTGGCTTCCATCCGACAGTGAGGCCCCAGCAGGAGGGGTTGGGGCTTCTCCACACCCTGGCCCGGGCTCGCTGCCAGCCGTTCAGGTCAGAAGCGAGGGAAGGTGGTGGGTGGCGAGGACGGGCTGGACTGCTGCTAGAACAAGGCAGCACTGTGCTTCCGTAGTGACCTGATGGCTGTCCTTCACCGAAGGGCAGTCGGGACAGCGAAAGGAAACGGAACCACCCGCAGACAAAGCAGCGGGTGGAGAGCAGGCAGGAGGAGAGCGGAGGCCGGAGGGAAGAGGGCCGGGTGGGGCAGGATGGGAGAGGAGTCAGAGGGGCCGGGAGGGCCGTCACGGTCGCTTCCTGGCAAGGACACTGAGAGGCTGACTCTGTGGCCTGTTGCTGCTCCCTGCCCTGCAGCCTGGTCCCACAGACAGCACTGCCAGGGCCACGCCCCGGCCCCAGGCCCGAGCCCAGGGGAGCGGCCTGCTCTCAGCGCTGCCCGCCAGGCCAGCGGCCTGCGCCGTGTCCCCTGCACAGCCCCGTCACGTGTGTACGTGGCCGTCTCCGGTGTCCCAGCGCCGAGCCCGCGTAGGCCTCTGCTGTCTAACCGTCTTCCCGGAGTGGAGGTGGCCGACCCCAGTCAGCATGTCCCCTGCTCCAGCACCCGCTGGGCCATGCGGAGAGGCTCCCTCTGCTCCAGCCCGGCCTCCAGAGCGGAAGTGTGGGCATCGCCAGCAGCTGTTAGCAAGAAGAAAGCACAGCCAGCGCCAGAGGCAGCGGGGCCCAGGCCGCGGAGGGGGCTGGGGCAGGCGCCTGCGGGGCGGGGGTGCAGAAACTCCTCCTCGGGAACATGCACCGGCCAGAAGGCTGCCCCCTCCGACAGGATCTTCTGTGAAATGAAACCTAAATCTGAAGGAAAGAGCCTGTGGAGCTTCACTGGTTGGGCTAATTTTAGAACAGCATTTGGCAGGGTTCAGGGGGAGGAACAGACACACCAAAACCACGCAAATAGGTTCCGCTGCAAACAACCGTCCTCCCACAGAGCAGACAGCCCCATCCCCGCAGAGTCCTGAGGCCTCGCCAAGAGGAAGCCCGAGGGTGGGGACCTGGAGGACTGCTGGGCCCCTCATCACCCCCAGCACACCCAAGCCCCCAGGGCACGCCATGAGGGGCCAGCAAGATCAGCAGGAGGTCCCTCTGCCTGCAGGCGCCACTCTGCTTTGAGCTGCGGAGAGGCGCCTTCCTCCCTCTCCCTTTCTGCGGGGGGGCTCCAGGCCCAGGCTGCCTGTGCAGCCCTGGTTCTTCATTTGCTCCGCAGCTGAACGCATGAACTCTGCAGACCTCCTGCACCCCCACCTCCTGTGTGTGTGGAGTGGGAATAGCAGCCATAGCAACCATAGCAACCATAGCAACCATAGCAACCACAGCACTGTCCCCATAGGTAAAACGTGTAAGGCCTTAAAGACTGTCTCTCCTTCCGGGTAAGTACCTGGTACGCGTGTGTGAGTGCCTGTGCGTGTGTGTGCACGTGTGCACGTGTGCATGTGTGCGTGTGTGTGCACTTGAGTGTATGCGTGTGTGTGTGTGTGTTTTACTGGGGACTGAACCCAGGGCTTTCCACCAAGCTACATCCCCGGCCCTTTGTTTCGTTCTGGGACGGGATCTCACTAGGTTGCTAGGTTGTACAGGCCGAGCTTGAACTTGCTACGCTCCTGTCCCTGCTTTCCACAGTGGCTGGGACTCTAAGTGTGCACCGCATGCCCAGTTAAATGTGAGCTGGTGTTTAGGGAGCTGCCTCTGCAGGTTGGATCCTGAATGTCCCCTAGAGGCCCACGGCTGCTGGCAGGAGCGGGACCTTCAGCAGGCGGGGTCAAGTGGAAGGAAGCGGCTTGTCGGGGTGACCTTGGAGGGGGCACTAGGGCGCACCCCTTCCTCCGCTTCGCCTCCCGACCTCCAGGTGAGCAGCTCTCCAGCCACGGGGGAGCCTGCTCCCACGGTGACGTCCTGGGCAGTGTCACAGGCCCACAGCAACCTGGGCTGAGCAGCCACAAGCCAAACCTTTTCCCTGATTCATTGGGTCATTCTAGGCGTTTAGTCAGTGCTGTGTGGCTTCGATCTAAAACGCCTCCGGGCTCGCAGGCCGGCTGGGTCTGAGGCTGAGCTCCGCACAGTGGGGTGGGGACTGGCTGGGCGTCCTGGCGGCCGGGTCGTAGCCTGGGAAAGTGCATTCTGGCCCCCAGCTCCTCTCCTCTCTGCATTCAGGCCGCCCTGCGTGAGCAGCTGTCGGGCGCTGGCCCTTTCACCAGCCAAGTGTCCTGACGGAGCGCAGACTGAATGAACCACCGGCAACTGCGCCCCCAGCCACCTCTCCCCCTTCGGGGTGTGGTGCTGAGATAGTGCTCCGGCAACGGGCACGTGGCGAGACAGTCACCGTCGCGGGAAGCTGGCACACCGCTGTCCTGCCAGGGGAAAGCCAAGCTGCAGGAACTCCCGGTCAGTTCCTCAAAGCCATTGGCTTTAAACCAGCTTATCTTTCAGGGTACCATGGTCTCCCTTCAGCCCTACATCTGCAGCATGAGCACCACCAGGGCTTCCCTTGAAAAGTCTAAATCAGAAAGAAAAACCCTGAGTGGCATCAGAAAACCAAGTACCTAGAACCGTGTGCTTTCCCTTCTGCGTCCACCCGTGGACAACACTGGTTTGCTTCAGCTGCTCCTTTCCCGGGTAAGTATCGCCCTGGTGGCCCACAGCGGTGGAGCTTAAGGACAGAACTTGGTCCTCAAGCTGGCCCAGGAGATCTGTGCTGAGGCGAACTCTCGGGGTTGGCCGAAGCTGGCCTTTCTCCCAAAGAGACGCCGTAATGCCGCTCCATGCTGCCAGCCACGCAGATTCAGGGCACACTACTTCAAACAAGGCCGCGCTGAACCAAGGCCGGGGACAGCGCCCACCGGAGTGCAGCTGGACGCGCGTCCCGCGTGCTTGGTGAGGGGCCCCAGAGAACTCACGCCTGGAGGCACCCACCGGCCCCTCCGGGAACTTCTCCCAACACTGCCACAGGCAGCGCTGCTCCTGGCAGAGGTGGCGGGCGTCGCCACCTGTCCTTCGGTCTGCTTTCCCCAGAGTCACTTATCTGCCCAAGGCCAGGGACAGCTCAAGAAGCCAAATAAATACAGAAACCTTTCCCCATAGCGCACCAGTTGGTTTTCCCAAGTTTGTACCGGCTGTAAAAAGATGTTCCAACTGACGGGAAACAGTTCCCTGACCGACACACGTCCCTGGAGGGGACTGAGACTTCTCGCCCATCCACACTGCATGGCGGCTCGGAGTCAGCCGCCTCCCTGCGCGGGCCCCTCACGGCCGTCTCGGGTCAGCAGCTGTCCCGGTGAGGAGCACCACGATGTAACCGAACCTGGGGATCCTCTGGCATACTCCGCCTCACCGCGAGACCCTCGTCCTCACCGTAATTACAAAGCCTCTTTTCTTTATCCCGGGGAACAAGGCCCGGGCACACTTGGAGGCATTTTCTCCCTTACAACTTCTAGAAGTTCAAGAGGCAAAATATTTTTCAATGTTGGGTGATCCATCCCGAATGATTCATCTCATCTAGCAAAGTGTCATAGTTTTCTATTGCTGCTGTAACCAGGGACCACAGATTTCATGACTTATCACAAACGTCGTCCAGTGCAGTTGGGTAAAGGGTCCAGAATCTGGCCTTGGTCTGACCTCGGCGGGGCTGTTTCTTCCGGACAGCCCAGGAGAATATGCTCAGCCTTCCAGCTTCGAGGGACTGCCCCGGCTTGGCTGAGCCGCACCCCGCAAACCCTGTTCTCCCATCCCTCCTCCTTTGGCCTCCGGACCGCCCTCATCTGAGCGCCCTCGTGATCACGGCAGGGGCCACACGAGGAACACGGTACAGCCTGTGTCCATCCTCCGTCACATCTGCAAGGCCCCTCTGCCACGCAAAGCGATGCCCATGGGCTCTGGGAGTTAAGAAGTAGCTACCCTTGGGGCAGGAGCGAGGTGCTATAACCCTGCCTAATACCTACGGGCTTGAATTCATTCTAAGTAGTGTGGCACCGCCTACACTTTTCAAAAATAATTTCCTATATTATACACGGCAGTGCGGGCCAGCTGACAGAAGTGCGTTTTCTGTCTAGCAGGCTGTGCTATTTTAATGTGAAAGCCTGTCTTCCTCTGACTCCCCTCCACCTCGCCTCGGACCACCACACTTCCTTCCTTGCCCTGGCCAATTGCTTCAGTTCCCAGCAAGCAAATTTACCTCAGGATTCTTGGTTGCCAGAGTAACCTAGCTTGAACGGGTTTACATTTTTTTGTAAAGTGTTGGCTCACAAAACTGAAAACTGCAGTGGTATGGAAGGGCGTAGGCACAAAGGGAAGCAAATACTCAGTTATAGCTTCAGGAATTTTTGAGTTAATATTTATGCTGGGGATGGAACCCAGGGCCTCAGGCAAGCCAGGCACAGGCCCGGAACCCTGAGCCACACCCAAGCCCAGTCTGTGGGATTCTTCTCTGTCCCAGCCTTTGACCCGCCTCCTTTGGTCTCCATTTCTTCTCAGGCAAAGGCGAATGCTCTGAAGTATTTGCAAAACAGACAACAATAAAAAGACCACTCCAGAAGCGCTGCTCCACTAGTCTACCCACATGGCAACCCAGCAGATGGGGCAAGGACTTTCTCCCAAAAGTGCAGGGACAGCCGTCCCCGACCCAGGTGAAGTCATGAGCTATCACTGGCCCACTGGCTGTGACTCCTAGGACATGTGCTCTGACTGATGGAGTCTGAGCTCTACGTGCTCGTGGAAACCTAGAAAGAGCACGTGTCCCAGGCCATGTAAGAGGGGCGTGGTCTCCCCCAAATAAAGGTAAAATCAGTAGGAGAAGTGGACGACAGCCAGATTAGCATCTGCTACACTAGTGTCAGACTCAAGTAAAGACTTTGAAAGGATCATCCAATAGTGTATTCGTCTCCAAAGGCAGGACTGTGCTTGCTTCCTTCAGCTAGCCCTTTCCGTCCACCCGTGGGTGATGGACGCAGTGTTCATCACTCGTGTGTGGATTCTCCCGCAAGAGTCGGGGAAAGTGGTCTTTTCTCATGCCTGGGGCTGAGCCGAGAAAGACCATTTTCTTACTGAAACAACCTGATACGCCAGGATTACACAACCACATCACAAGAGTCTCAGCTCGTGGTCAGACCTGTTAACCCCGGGAAACCTAATTTACTCTTCGCTAACACAGAACTTACTTGTTCAGCTCATTAAATTTGATGTTGGGGCGGGGATGTAGTCAGTGGCGGAGCACTTGTCTTGCATGTGGGAACTCTGAGTCCAGCCCCCAGCACTGCAAAATAAACAAAAATAAGCAAAAGGCTTCTTTGTTGCCTAGAAACCAAGAAGGTCGTAGTAATTTCGTGGAAAACCAATGGCACAACCGTTCTGCACTCAGCATTCCGAACCGGAATGCAGTGCGGGATTGGAAGGCTGGGGTACCCTCCTCTAAGTGTTTCTAGTACCTTCATGACAGAGAAAGCCTGTGGGCTGCAACCCACAGTGCTGGGTTCGCAAAGGCTTTAGTGAAAAACGTAAAACCCTAGTCCTCAGAGTCCCCTGGAAGGGAAAGAGCAGCTCTTCAGAGAGGCCGATGCGCAGAAGGGCTGCGTGCGAACAGCGCGTTTGACCAGATTTCCCTCTGCACGCACCGTTCACCGGCGCCCCGCCGTTCCCACGCCGGAAGCTGTGACGGTCCCGGGCTTTGGGGCTGGCTGTCCCCCAGCGTCCGAGGCTCTGCGGTGGGCGCGCCGGCCCGGCCGCCTCCCGGATGATGGACAGTCCAAGGCGGCAGGTAAACCTATCGCTGCACACTGCCGGTTCCGGCGCGGCGTTCCGGACTTTCACGCTGGAATCGTGCTTGGAAGCGTCTTTACTCTCTTGCTTTACTCTCTGCCCGGCGTTTGGACTTCGCGTTTCCTCTGCGCCAAGGGTTCTGCCCCGCCTGCGGCCCGTAGTTCTCACCTCCCACAGACTTAGCGAGCAGCACAGCGGGTCGGCGCTCTAAATTCCGATGTAAAAAGTGTGAACAGTGGTTAGTACAAGATGCTTACGTGGGCTGGGGAGATAATTCAGTAGCACAAGCTCCTGCCTGCCAAGCGCAAGGTGCTGAGCTCGATTCCTGATACCAAAAAAAAGATGTTTAGGTGGACGCCAGTCCTCTCGCTAGTGAACCGCAGGGAGAGCAGCTCACATTTTATTTTGAAGCCATTGGTTTTCATCCGAGGGCTGGCCCAGCCCAGCCAGCATAGAATGAGGGGTCCAGCGTGTGCCCGTGCTCCAGTGGCTCATCCCAGGGGGGGGGTGTCCCCCAAGGCCCCGTGGAAGGGCTCCGTCCTGGCTCTGAGGCTGTGGGGAAGCTCTGGAGCCTTTTGCGGGTGGAGCCTGGCGGGAGGAAATTTGCCCTTGGGTGTGACCTTGAAGGGGCTCCCAGTCCTTCCCTGTCTCGTTTCTCAGCATCCTCCGCTGCTCACTTGCAGGCCTCATTGGAGGCCCAGAGACAGGAGGCCAAAGAGCCAGACCCTCTGAGCCTGAGCTGCTCTTCTCACCCGCCACCTTCAGCTCCGTACCCAGGTTCCAGAAGCGCCCCGGAGTCCCCACCTCCACCGGACAGGTGGCTCTGGCTGCGTCTTGTTTAACAGATCTCCACTCCTCGCATCTGTGGGCTTCAGTAGTTTTTAGCTGAGATTTCTCCTAGTACGGTTCAGCCTTCTCTTTCTCTTCTCCTAGGGCTCTGATGATAATGTTGTTTCTTCTCCCATGGCCCACAGGTCCTCAGAGGCTTTCTGAATTTTTTCCAGTCTTTTTTCTTTGTTGTTCAGGATTGTTTCTCTCATCTTCTTCCTCTTCTCTTTTTCTTTTTCTTTGGGGAACATAAGGGTGAGACAGCATCTTGCTATGTATTTCAGGCTGGCCTTGAACTCACTATGTAGCCCTGTCGACCTTGAACTCATGTTGATCCTCCCGCTTCAGCCTTCCAAGTGCTGGGATTACAGGCGTGCACCACCACGCCCAGCATTTCCCTCATGTTATCTTCAGGTTTGCTGTTTCTCTATTTTCTCCATGTTGAGTCCAACCCACTGAGGGTTTTGGCTGCTGTGTTTTTCAGCTCTAAATCTTCCATGTGTGTCTTTGCTTTTTTTGGTTTTTATTTTGTCTTTTTTTGAGACAGGGTCTCGCTATGCAGTTCAGGCTGTCCTTGAGCTCACTTTGTAGCCCAGGCTGGTCTCAAACTTGCAACAATCCTCCTGCCTCAGCCTCCTGAGTGCTGGGATTACAGGCATGTGCCAGCACCCCCAGCTCCGTGTGTCTTTGTATCTTCATCTCTGATAGGTTTTTCCAGCACAGAGAGAAGTAAAGCAGAATAAAATGCCTTTATTGTGGGAGAAGCTACAGAAAAGAAAGAGAGGGATGTGGAATTTCTGAGGGCCTGTCTTGTGGTCCAAGGTTAAATAGCCTCAGGCTGGGGGTGGGGTTTAGGAGGTGGACCGCCTGACATGGCAGACCAGGATTGGGCAGGAGCATGGGAAAAGGAAAGAGGATGTTGCAAAAAGGGAAGTAGGAAGTCGTAATTTGACTCAGAGGAAGAGGGGTGGGGCTTAGCACATGACCTTTAGTGGCCAGTGCCATATTGGCTTGGTGCCATACTGGCTCAGCGCCATAGCACATGACCTCCAGCGCCACATTGGCTGGATGCCAGAGCCACTCGGCAGGAATTACAGCGAGGTGAGAAACCCATCAATCTCTTTACGGATACCTCCTACTTTTTATTTAGTTCAAGCCTGTCTGTACTGCTGGTGGAAGCATTTTATGGTGGTTTCCTTAGGGCCTGTACCAGATGGCTTTGCCGCCTTGGTCATGTCAGGGTTGGACCTAGTCATTGTTTTCTTTCCCTGAGCCCCTCCTGGTTCCTGGCATGAGCGACTTCCTATTAACTGGAGGTCTGCAGTGTTATGTGGTGTGAGCCCCATGTGAATGTCTTGGCAGGGAGAGTGGAAGTGCGGGGCGAGGTGCCTGCTGGGCCGGCGGGGGTCTGCTCCCCAGGTAGTGAGAGTGGGCGCTGCACACTCCCTCCTCCCGTTGGCCCCCAGTGAGCAGGGAAAGGGTGGCCCGGAGGAAGCGGACGCCACAGTCTGCTCTGAAACCAGCCCGGCAGGGGCCTGGCGCAGGGTCTGTCCGCACAGAGGGTGCCCAGGAGGCTTGGACCTGCACCACGGTGCAGCCACCTCCCGGTCCTTCCCCAGGCGGCAGCCTCTGGGGCTTGTTTTGTTTTGTTGGGTCTCGGGCTTGGGGTTTCCTTTGTTGGTTTGGGGCTGGCTTGGGCCTGCGTTCTGGGTTGTCAGCTTGTCTTGCTAAAGTCTGGAATGAGTCGGAGGAAAAACTCAGGGAGCTGACCAGGCACCTTCCTCTGCATTTCACATCCCCACGGATTTGTTCCAGGTCTCTTGGCTGCATCCAGGGAAGGCAATCAGGAAAATACACTCACTCCTCTTCCCGGAGGTCCGTTTTTAAAATGAAACTGCAGTGAGCAGTTACAAACACAAGGGGTCTCTTCCAACAGTTCGCTTGTTTTTTTCACTCAAGTAAGGCTAATTTTCAAACATCCTCAATTTTGAGGGATGGAATTACCTTAAAGATCCAAGTTATCTTCCACTTCATTTTGAAAAAATTAATTATTGAATTAATTTCTCAAGGTTACATTATTCAGTAGGAGAGACGATAAGCCTGGCATATTATTCATCTAGATGAAGCCGGTTTTGACACATTAGATTCATTAACGTCTTTGAAGGAAATGCATTACTACCCTCAAGAGATTATAACCTGAAAATATAAAGTAAAATTTTAAATAAAGTTTCAGAATTCTGAAATGATACTGTTATAGGCAGCTGAGTCAGATACAGACATTATAGGCAATCAGACAGGGCCAAGCCCTGGAAGCAGCCAGTGCGGAAGACAAGATACCGGCCAACGGAGAGGCATTTCCTGCGGGCCAGACCTCAAGACAAAAGACTAAACAAATGCACCCACACACCTCCCCAGGGATGGACCTCAGGGATTGATATGCTAAATAGGCAGCAGTCACCTTGAAGAGTCACTGGCCCAACCCCCCACAGGAAAAGCCCCTGTTCTGCATTCATGCCCGCTTGCTGCGTGACTCGCTTCCCCATTTGATCCCGGTTTAATCAGTTTTACCTGAACATTCTTATTGGCTGACCAGGGTTTTGTCCTACCTCATGCCCACCTTGGGATTTCCCATTTTTACCCGCTACCTTGGATCCGCCTAACCTTGTGGTTTTGCTCTATAAAAGTGCCTAGGAAAGACAGGGTCCTTGGCAGCCCACTGAGGCCCCCCTCTGTCCCTCTCGGACAGAAGTTTCTTTCTCTCAATAAATTCTGCTCTTAACCTCTGCTGTTCTTAAAATTCATTCTTTGATTTTAGAGAACACAGACTCGTCCCAAATTGTTCAAGTTGGGAGTTTCTTTCACCTGTATCAATACCAAGTTAACAAAAGAAGCATTGTTGCTGGGCATGGTGGCACACACCTGTAATCCCAGCACTCAGGAGGCTGAGGCAGGAGTATTGTTGCAAGTTTGAGGCCAGCCTGGGCTACAAAGTGAGCTAAAGGCCAGGCTGATCTGCATAGTGAGACTCTGTCTCAAAACCAAAAAAAAAAGATGAGCATTGTTAATAATCAGTGGTAGGGCACCTACCTAACCCGCATGAGGCCCTGCTTGGGATCCCAGCCTGATAACATTAATGCATTGTGTATTTCAAAATTGCTAAGAGTGGATTTGAAATTTCCCATCATAAATGATTAAGTATGTGAGGTGATGAGTGTGTTAGTTAGCCTGATTTAATCACTCCATGGATACATGTATCAAAACATCACAGTGCTCTCCATAAACATAAATTTTTTTAAAGTTTGAAATTATTTATTATATTTACTATAACAAGCATTCCCTGAAACCCCTAAGTTGTTCTCCCAACTTGAAAAAAAGCAACTGTAAAGTAACAAACCATATTATCATCAGTCTCAGCAGCCAGAGGGGACAGTACATGTTCTACTGCCTGACAGGCTACACTTCTGTTTATCAGTGTAAGCACAGGAGTGAGGTACATACCTCAGCAGGGAATACTGGAAATTCTTAGGGCTCCCACGGCAGGCTGCCGGCTCATAGCCCGCCTGATAACCTTTCACTCTGGACAGAGGGACCAGCGTCACTCTAGGAATTTAAACTGAAACTCTTGGAGCCTTCCCAGATGCAGCTTGCCATTCCAGCTCAAGGGTACAT